AGAATAAGGAGCCCCTCCCCACGCCCCTCTGAGAGAGATTTGGTTAAAAAGAACACAATGGTGCTCTAGGAGGAGATTCAGGGAAAAAAGTGTGTGGGGGGGGGGGGTTACCTTGGTTGCTGATTGGCTAATGGTTACACAAGCCCAAAACATGGTTATGACATCATAAAGTGGCCAAAATCTGATCAGCCCATTTTCAGACAGGTTTTTATAGAAATGGATCAGGATAAAAAGAGAGAGAATCTTTGTCCCTGAAACTTTCAGAATCTCTTTACACAGAGGAGACACATGTTGATGTATGAAAGACATGAAAAAGTGGATTTTGCATAATAGGTGACCTTTACAATTATATATATATATATATATATATTATATATATTTTTTCTCTATCTATTGATACAAATCTCCACTGAGGTCTAAGACAGAACTTAATGCATTACAGAAGAAATATTGAAGCATATTTCATATATCTAAGATCATCTCAGACGATAGCTCCTGCCTCTGGGTTCAGTAATTCAGTTTGGTGGACAGACAGATTTGATAGTAGCTTTTAATGTCTGTAACAGCTTGAGGGGATGTGACATTTATGCTGCTCAAGATTACATCGTGTTGGAGGAAATATAGATAAATAATGCGAAAAAATGAGGGAAAGTGTTCACAGCTTTTTTGTTGCTGTTGTCTCCGGTTTTAATGCTTGTTTGCTATATATTCAAGAAGTCTCTATTCCTGTATTGTATATCTCAAAAAGAAGGCAGTCTAGTAATTTGATTCCCACTGTGGAAAGCGCATTAAAAGTTATATACAATGTTCTCTGTGGGGATTTCAAACTGTTAAAACCCATTAAAGATGCATATTTGGTAATGTCACTTTGAATCTAATCGTTGTTGTGCAAAATGAATTGGCCTGCGGTGTCTGCGGAAAAGACACTATAAATGCACGATATCTTCTAAAGGCAAGCAACCAACTTGTAAAACTACTGAAACATAATACAAAACTATTAATTGGAAAGATGCTAAATGTATGTAACATCACTTCTCTGGTGTTTATTCAGACACTTTAGGGAGTGTGTTGGCTTTAGAAATGCATTTTTATAATGTTTTAGTGCTAAAATAATATATATCAGTATGACATAATAATTTGAATTTGATAGACCTTTCTTTTAGGGAAAATGTGGTATATTTAAAGTTGCTAGCTTCACCTTGGCAGCCCCATCTCTAGCACACCATTTAAATATATCTTGATAGACTACTTTATTTTTTGTTTAAGTCGGGGGTCACAGAGGTTTAGAAATATCTGCTTTTTTGTAAATATCCAGAATTATACTATACCAAACCAACCTTGCAGCGAGGCATGGATTGGTGAATAGTTTTGGTTCTCAAACAGCAAAACAACGATGTAATTTGTAAAGTAGCAGATCAATCAATGTGTAATTTACATTTTTACTCATCTGGAAACAAACCCAATTATAAAGTGTGACCTACAGAGGGAGGCCTTTGATGAAGGCTAAATCTTGTCTTGTTACAATTCTGCTTTAAATGTAAATTTAAAGTGTTCACTGCCACCGATAGCTGTTAACTTTAATGACTTCAATCACCACAGTTGAGTTGTTTTAGAGACATCAGTCTGAGCTCTCTGTTTTCCGCTGGCCTTAAACGTGCCTCGGTTGCACAAGAGAACACCTGACACCATCCAAAGTGGTTTCATGTTGGAAAGCAACTTCTTCTCTCAGTTAGGTCATAAATTGGCACGGGAAATTAAAAACCTATTTTAAAAAATACAGTTTCTCAATAGTGTAATCTTTGTAAATATTTCCCTATACTTTTGGTTACATAATATCATCCATTTTAAAGTAGAGCATTCTGTGTACCTGCTTTTTTTCTTTTTCCATGTGTAAAAAGTGTAATGTCTTTGATGCTTGCTTAGGTACGGCAAGAAAGTTTGAATAGGAATTCGACACACACAGAGCCGGCCCGACAATGTTTAAACTGTCAGTCGGACTCAGAGTTTTTGAAGATGGACATAAGAAAAAAAAGACGATAATTAAAAAAAAAAAGCTCTCTGGAAAATGTTGACTTACTGTTCGACATGAAGCTAGAAGCTACCTTACAGTACACAGTTGATCCTGAGTCCTGTCAGTTAAAGTGCTTCATAGTTAGCTTAGCTAAGCATCAACCTAGCACTGAAATATATGGATGTTATGTGACAGTATGTCTGAGAAAAGTCAGCTGAAATGGTGGCATAGTTGCCACTGCTTTACTTGTCGACAGCATGTTTGAACGTATTTGCAGCGGTAAATGTGGCTATTTGGCCACTGAGGTTGCCATAACAACACCTGCATTTAAATGTGCAACCTCTTTTTGTGACAGATTTTTGCATGAAATTATAATTCTTCTGAATGATATTCCTATTGAGAGCTAGTTTCTATGTGAACATTATGAGATGGACAGCCAGAGAGAATACATGAGAAACAGTTATGAAATACTATATGACAGTAAAACAAGAATACAGTTTAAAAGGGTGATTAGTATAAGAAATATAAAAAAAATTTACAGTTCTGTTTCATATGGGTGTTGAGAGATTTATCCATAGATCTCTTAATGTTGCTCTCAAAGTGCACCAGATTGATGCTTTTAACTTCAATATTTAAAAAAAAATCTTGCCGGGGGGGCATGCCCCGGACCCCCCTAGAGGAGGTAAAGTCCACGGTGTTTACATGCTTATTTATACAATATGTGTGCTTATGCTAGCAAAACATAAGACAAAAGTTGGTTCCGCGTTGTGTGTAGTGAGAATGCGCTAGAGTGAGGGGGGCCCCCAAGCCAAAGCTCGCTTAGGGCCCCCAAAAGTCTAGGGCCGGCCCTGGACACACAGATATCTGGATCATTTTAGTACACAGCTTTCAAGATCATAATGTTTATCACAATAGTCGGAAATGTACTTTGAATTTCAGTGAAAATAATATATTTTCACTTCCTGTAGTGATAAAGAGGCCCGTCCGATTATCTTTTTAGGGTTTCCCCTTCCTGTAGTGTGTTTATACAGGTATTTGTGCATGTAAATGGTCTTTAAAGGCTAAAATCACTGTGTTCCCTCCAGAGAGAGTTTCTGTCCCACTCTCATACATTTATATTTCTAATTTGGATGATGGGTGGCGCTGTGTGTTAAAGCAAAGCTCAATTTGTAGTTTAATTTGTATAGACTAATTTGCATTAAACTTTCTAAATTAGTCTGGGTTTATTTCCTGTTGTGATGTATATTAATATCAAGGGCTGACAGGGAAACACATTTGAAACCAAAAGGTTACCTAGCAAAAAATGCTAATAAACCGGAATATATGATAAGCTTAAATTCTAACACCCTATCACGGCACATCTGCTTCATTGCAGTGGACAGCTCTGCAAACAGACAAACTCATTCTGGCAGGAAATCTGAGGCAAATCATGCTGTGTCGAATAAAAGCTACCCTACTGGCTGCGTTATCTAACTGCTCTGATGCGTCTTTTTTAAAAGCAATTACTCTGTGTTGTTGCCACTATTAAGGAAAGGTCCCTCCACCCTCGTCCTTACTTGCTATTCTACTCCATGGCTGTACTGTCTTTGGTCGGTCAACTTTTGAAGTATTATGACCAAATCTTAGCTTGAGTTAATTTAAAGTAAGGCTATGCTATCATTTATGGAACAGTCTTAGCTTGAGTTAATTTAAAGTAAGGCTATGCTATCATTTATGGAACAGTCCCTCTACCTGTTTGTATTCCAGGTGATACAGTGGCCTGGAGGCTGTTAAAATATTTAGGATGGCACAAACACATTCTTCCTTTTTCACTTTAAAGCCCCATAATACTTGGCTTCATATGTTTCTTTTAACATTACATGATGGGACTAAATAGACAACAAAGAGGTGAAACACATTCTAATTTATGAAAAGAAATAATATTTAAATATCGCCATCACTGTGCTGGGGCTTCAAGGAGTTGTTTCATGACATGGTGTAAAGGTAGTAGGTTGATACAAAACATATTAATACTATGTAATACAGAACCTTGGTAAATGGAGTTCTGAAACTAATGACTAAAAATTGTTTGTGCATGATGTAGCTACAGTTAATTTTCTGAGCAGAGTTGGTGGTGCATCAATGGAAAGAAAAGCAATTACATTTTTGTGTCAGCTAATTCAATTTTGACAGGAATATACGTCTGGTTATCTAAACTGAGTACCCAATTACATGGTGTTTGATGTAGACCCCATGTACACGCAAACGCAAACAAAACCCAAACGAACCGAATACGATATCAAAAAATTCTTCCGTTCACACGAGACCGCTCGAAAGTGCTGTAGTACATATTCCGGGCCTGTAAGTGGCGCTGTACTTCCGCCAGAAAATACACCAAAAGCAGAATACAAAAAGATCCCCGAGCATGGTTGCCATGGTTGCCCTTCTGTTTATGCCCCGCGGTGGATTTAGCAACATGTAGTTCATGTAATTCTCCATGTCCACTTGTTGCTGATGGTTGTGGTAGAGGAGCTGTAGATTTTGCACTAACATCTACTGACCATGCTACAGCAGTGAGCAGCAGAGGTGGGGAGAGGTGGGGCTATGGCTTCATTGTTATCTGGAAATAATCGTACTTAGGGCGTACACACACTGAGCCGTTTGGCCCCCCAGAGCGTTCCATTTGCAGATCTATCCACCTTGGGACCCGTTATCGTTTGCGGGGTCTGTTTTCGCGGTTCCGTTACGGCCTCCTGTGAACTAACGGGCTTTACGAAAGAGAAAAGTAGCGGATACAACCGTTTACGTTCTCGTGTAAACAGCACCGTAGTCTACCATACATGGATTGGTTATCCAGTTTTAGGTCGCTTGTCATCTGGAAGATATTGGGTTTGGGCTACATTATTCTGTGAAAGAAAATCCCTGTTCAGTAGCTGCCTGAAACACACTGATCCGCTAAATGTTTGTTTGTGGATCCACATAGAAATGGTTCATTCTTTTACACAATGATAATAAAGTTTTAAAGTTAGTGGGTAGGCATGCAGTGGTCCATTGATCTGCAGCCAGAGGGAGCTCTTAATATAGATGGTAGTGCTGTAACTTTTGTAAAGCATTAGATTAATTTCCTGTCAGAACCCTGATATCTTCCTGCGTATCTGTCATGCTGAGTTATAGTCATTCAATCCAGATTCATTGCCTCCGGGTGCTGTATTAAACATATGAGTTATATATAAAATACTTCGGGAGGTCTTTGGCATCGGCGCACTGCAGGGATCCTTATCTCCGGATCCATACTGTGACCCAAGGCCTGTTACCGTGGCTACTTCTCTGGCCTTTGAGCTGCTTCCTGTCTGGCTGACTTGCATTGATGTGACCTGGAGGAGAATTTCAGTGGATACTCATGTGTCCATACATGTGTGTGTAGTGTTTGGACACAATGCTGACGGATCTGCTGCAACTAGTGGATGCTAAATAAGCCCTTAAGGTCATGACCCACTGTGCAGTCACACCTCCTCGCCACAGTACAGCTCCCTAATGAGCACACAGGCTGCAAAAGGAGTGAATCTTAACAAGCAAAGTCTCTTCTGAACCGAGCAGAAGAATCCTGATCAACACAGGAGACTTCACTTGTTTGGATGTTGTTCAGATCCGTCTTATTATCCACATCACTTGCCTCAAGCCGTCTTTCACAAAATAATGACCTTGGAGGCAAAAATGTATTTTATGTTCACTGTTGCATAACTTTTATTCATTTAAATGCTTCCATACTTTCCATTATTGACAAGAATGCTTTTGGGAAATCTGGCTGTTTAAGAGATGCATTTCCTTCATAATTCAAATCTATTCTGGGATTTCAGTTTCTCATCAAAATGGTATTTCAGAATCTCATTATCACCACAGAAAATAGTGTCCACTTATCTTTCTATCTTACAACAATGATCATGTTTATTTTAGAATGATTAGAAAAAGAAGATAATGTCACGTGTCTTCACTGCACATTATTATTCTGTATTTTTACTTGAATCCAAAGATGTGTATTATGTTTTCATGTCAAAAATAGTGTTTGGAGTCATAAGGTGAATCAGATTATCAACAGCAGGGTTTGAGACTTTAAATTAGTCATTTACTTTGTAGCAGCACATATAAATATATATATATTTAGATGTAATGATTGTTTTTAGTTACTATTGGTACCTCTGATATTTGGATGAAAAATATATTTTTACTTTTTCTAAACATTTTGAATACTCATTTGTTGTTTAAAGCATTTTAACTTGTGTAATAGTTAATCTTACCCAAGTAAAAACCTCTGAGTCCTTCTTTGTTCATTGACAGAATGTAACCAGGAAAACAGAAAATGTGATAAAAGCTATGACAAAGATTTACAGCGGTGTAAAATGAAGTAGTGTCGGAAATGATCAAAAATCCTCAGTCACTGTGTCCTTCTTAGAGGACAATGAAACACATTTTTTGGCAGAATAGCATTGTTGCTCCCTGGTCTATAATTCCAAGTGTTGTCACATTAATTTATAGAGCAGTGCTACTCCATATTGTGTTATTGCTTTTAGCTGCAAAAAAGCCTCCTGAAAAAAATACCATGCTTTTTCCCGACACGACACGCAGAGCACTGGCTTAATGAAAACAATACTTTTTATTTTGGTTATGTATATATTTACATAATGAATGCTTATTAAAGTTATTTACTGCTGTTTGTATAAATAAACCATTTAATATAGTTTGAGAGGAGAAGAATGGGATGTTGTGCAGATACAAAAAACACAGATGTACAGTTACAGTAAAAATGCTTCTACAGCCAACATTCATGCACAAGAGCTGATATCCTCAGGCTCACAGAACAAACCGCACTGAATAAGGCATACAAACTTGCTGAAAGTTACAAAAAAGCCAATATCTCATAGTACTAAATAAAAGGCAACCAGTTTTTCTGTTTGCTGAAGTACTTTGACTTAGTACTTCAAGACATACATATGAACCGGATGACTGAGAAACTTCATCGACACACAAAAGCCATGTACAGAATCTATACAGGTGCATTATTAACTACATTTCTCATTGTCTTGTACAAGGTCAGGTCAAGTGCAAAAACTTTTGAAAGGAAAAGTCCCACATTAAATAGAAAGCCAAATGGAGGCAGTGAAAGCCAGGAATAAATTAGCAGAAGATGATGATGAATAAATGGCACGGAAAGAATGGAAACAAAACGAACAATTAGTGAACACAGTAAAAGTATGAATATATTAGTGGGCATGAATAAAAGCAATACTGAATGAGAAATTCCATTATGAAAATCTAGACTTTTTTCTGGACAAAGCTTTCATTTTGTAGAGAAAAAGAAAATTACAGAAATGTCATTAGTGTTAAAAGTTGGAATTAGTTCCATTATTGAATTGAAAAAGTTTGACTTGAATTATGTTTTCAGAAATGCACTCATTTTATTGTATGTGGCCACTCATTATTGAAGAGAAAATGTCACGTTTTCACACGGAGAACCTCTCAATTGATTAACTCTCCACATAAAAACAGGCAAATAGCAAGATAACGGTAAAACATTTAATCATATAAATAAATAAATAACATTTATAAGAACATTCAGGCGCCACCATCAATTTTTTCCTTGTTTTCATAATTTCCTTTACATGTACAGTACGTAATTGTCCTCCGCTTAAGAGTCATCCTCAGTTTTAATGATGTGGAAAAGCGTGACATTGAACAGGACCTGGTGACCGTTGTTCCAGCCGTAGAGGGCGCGGTCCCTGGCGTTGTAGTCCAACATGGACATGTGGAAGTACTGGTTGTGAAAGGGAATGTCTGTGTACTCGTACGTGGAGGTTTTAGTGGAGTAGGCATAATAGACCTTAGCACCGGTGAGATGGGAGTTAGTGATGTAGAGCGTCCCGCAGATCATAAAAGACTCGCCAGCGTTCCTCTTCGAGTACTCCGTGTCCCACGTGTTGAGGATCTGCAGGGTGTCCGGGTTCAGCTGGCTGATCACGATGTTCCCCGCGTTCTGGTTGGTGGCGTACACCGCCCACAGGCCCAGCTCGTCCGCCATCAGGTCGATGTCGGAGAAGCCCCCCCAGGTGTAAGGGTACACGTTATGAAACCCCGCGGACTCCAGAGCTCTCTGAGTGACCACGCGCCCCGTCTCGAAGCTGTACCTGACCACGATGTTGCTCTGCATCTTGTTGTAGTACAGCGAGCCGTTGTACACCACGTGGTCGGTTCCCGCCCATTTGAAAGGCAGGTTGTAGGTTCTCGACTCGACTCCCGCCACAAAATCAGCGATGGATTTATACTCTTTTACTATCTTGTTGTTGGTGTAGCTGTCCATGTACCAGACCTGAGGACAAATAAATACAGACAAGCTTCCTGTGATGATTATTTATAAGAAACTGTGCCGCCTGTAAACGTACAAAGAACACTAACATCTTAAATTATTCAGCTGTGGGTGACCTTATAATAACAGACCACATAAATGTCACATATAATATGTCCATGAGAAAGTGTAGGAAGAAGGGCTTTTACTGAAAGAAAAGGATGACAGCAGAGCTTCAAAAGAAAAAAGAAAAAGAAAAAGACCTCGCGGCCAGACAGTTGATGGAGGCCAAACATCCGATGATAGACTTTTAATGTTTTTTAAATGGTATTGAAAAGATCAAACTAGGACAGAAGGTGGATCACTTAAACAACTCTAGGACTAGTATAAAAAGGAAAGGTACTTTTTGGAGTTATTATGTCAGAAGTCCGCAGTATTAAAAACTGATTAGGCATGAATAATGTTTTTTATATGGTTTTGTACATTTTATTCCATTAATTTAGTACGTTTCTAATATGTAGGTGGAGTGGACGATGGAACTCGAAAAATGCTTTATAATGCAAATGCAGTCCATTTATCATTTAGTCCGCTATGGAGCAATGATTCTAGAAGTAGTCCACTCCTCTGTTTTGTTAGCAAATATGCCTTTTTAACTCCTCTACAAGGAGGCAGGTGACTAAATGCAAATGACTGCCTCATGTTGTTAGACTGTATGAGAGTTGACAGTAGTCACAGCCAAGAAACGAAAAGTTTTAGCAAAAGGCAGAAGAAGACTGCTACTGTATGAAGCGAGTGAATTGGCCCAGCAATCACTGGATTCCAACAAAGCAGAGGGTATAATTATGTTAAACACCTTTACATAGTCTGGCATAATGTATGCAATGTTATGCCAGACCAAATATAAGAAAAGACACTTTTTCGACTTAAAGGTCACCTATCATGCTATTTTTAGGCAATAGCATAGGTCTCAGATATATACAAATATATAAAAAACATGTCTATGAAGTGTTTTGATCAAAATACCAAACAGATCACCCATTCTAGCCATGCCTCATATCCCTCTATTTGACTTCCTGTTTCAAAAGTGCTAATTTTGGGTATAAAGCTTTAGAAAATAAAAAATTGATACAAAATAAAAAAGGAAGGGGCTGAGCTCATGCGGGACCCGGCAGCTACCGTCTAAACTAAATACTGCCGTGATGAAACGCCCTATCATGGATTATCAAGGATTATTTCTGAAACAGTATGGAGCCTCAAAGGGCTTTCTCTCTTGCCGGTTTAATACAAACCACAAGGTGAGTTCCTTTTTACTTCTCTTCTTCACACACATGCTCTCCAGTAAAGGTTAGCTCTGAGTGTTTAGCGATGCTGTAAGTGTAAACATGCACCGCGACCAATAATTACGTCCAAAACAGTCGGGCATTGGGTTTCTGATAGCAACCGTTCTGATAGGGTGCCGTGGGGTCGTAACGCAGCCGGTCATTTTTCCGATATTATGTCATAATCATACAGCATACCGTTTTTAGAGATTTGGCGTAGGGAAGGAAGAGAGCAGAGGCGTTTTTATTTCTTCTGGCACTCGCGTGTGTTACCCCCTGCGACATGACTGACATAACAAGACATCAAAAGTGTATTCTAGCATGATACGGCTCCCCTTTAAAAACCGCAATTTCCCCGCCACCCGGTTCACAGACGCAGGGCCTTCTCATGGTCACTTATTGGAATCCCGAGAAAAAGCTGGCTTTGCAAATGCAATATGAAGAGGAAAAGTGCTTTGACATGTTAGGCTTAAGCCTCAAGGATACACACACCATTGGCTCAGTTTGTCAACTAAACCCCGACAGAAGGTCTGTTTTATTTGTCATCGCAACAGCACACGTGTCTCTCCTCTTATTATTTCTCTGATCTATTGTGTGACTGTTGGCGTGTTTGTAAGTACTAGTTTCATTGTGTATTCTCTGAAGAAGGTGCACATTCTTAAGAAGCTAGATGGCCAATTCAATGTGTCCTAACTGCGTTTTGGATAATTGACAATCCTCAACATGTGGTGTATTTAAAAAGAAGTTATTTTCCTCTATAAACGCTGGTGACATGGAGGAACTGGTGCCAAATTGCGGCCAGTAGAAAAAAAAAAAGTTGATACACATTAATTTAAAAAGAATGTCCAATGGTTCTGCCAAGCCACATCAAGTTTTTTATTAATGTTTGAATCCTCAGCGGCCATAAAAAAGTTTCAGTGAGAATGATTATTGTAAGTCTACTACGATCTGCTCCCACTGGACCGCGAGGAGGGGTAGCAGTTCCATGTACAATTTTTTAAAAACCGGCCCTGTGTTGCTTCAAAAGCTAACTAACGGCACAGCAGACCATTAGCGCTTGCGGGCTCACGCGCTGTTGTTTTTGGGAGAACGCTGCGGGTCAGATCCATCCAGGCTCCAAATCCGGTCCCTGAAAGGTTTCACAGTCGCGGCCGCAGGCTGAATCTTCATTAGCTTGGCCACATGCTGCGAACACAGTCACGAGCCAGCTCTGGTTAACACTGCACCCAGCTCGCACATGATTGAAACTAGCAGTGCTTATGATTACTATTGGAACAAATCCCTAGGCTTTGGACTTGGGGCTGCAATCTGTGGGCTAACGGATAAACAGATGAGTATGGGGCCCTGTCCTTGTGCTTACATACTTTCTTGGCGTGCTTTTAATAGAAAGTGGATGACTAACCTAAACAATTAGCACGCTGTAGTAACAACTCTCCTTCCTATGTGTCAAGAGCTGTTATCCACACGTTTTAAAATATTTAAAGCTTAGCTGCACTAAATTCATCTTGCGCAGCACCTTTAATTTGTGCTTAACAGGCTAATTCACTTGCACGCAAGATTGCCAACTTGCCCTATTAAGTAATTAACTGCTTTTTCTACCTAAATCAAGCAACAATGAATGCTTAAGTGATCATCTGTTGAACTAGGGGGCAGATTTGCCAGCCACATCCCCATTGTTAGCATTCACATGTTGCTTTTCATGTTGACAACTTTGACCGGGTCCATCAGTGTTGGAGATGACAATGGCAGTTGGCAAAGTTGCGGAGTTTAGTTATGAGAAATGTATGAAGAGGGCAAAAGCTGTTTCTCAAGGCTTACGAGTGAGTTAACACATTAACCCCTTGACGGGAAAAGTATCATAGCCTTTCTTTCAGTGACAAACTGTTGGAATGGGCAAGGAAGGAACCAGAAGGATTCAAAAGAATAAGTCTAAAATAAAAAATGTTTAATTAGTAGCCAAGGAGTAACGGCCTATAAACGGCTTCTTCCTGGGCAACCTCCTTTAGCTTTTTAGCCATAACAATTTTTTTTATATGATTTCTTCTCCAACAAGGATAAGAAAGCTTCCCAGCTGATCACAGCCGGGTCACAAATCCTNGTAGTGTAAACTGAGTTAAACACTAATGATGGGTCCAAAAAACGTTGTGGCTTTATTGATGTGGACTTACAGATGTAGAAACCACACCGCTATTCATTGGAGAATGTGGTGATTAATCTGCTGGATGCACGAAGGAAATTGTGAAAAATAGTTTGCTTTAATTGAAATAAGGCTTTACTTTAAAGAGGCTACAACCTGCAATAATTAATTCCAAATGTATTTCAATAGTCAGGAAAGGGATTCTCAGAGCATCGTTATTGGTTGTCTGAATTGTAATCAATGTATTGTCACACTTTAACATTAATGAAGAAGGTCTTAGTTATATCCACTCGAATCCTGTTTAAATCAAATGACTCTCTGCAAGACATTGATTTGTCCTATCTGAGTTATGCGTGTATTCAGGAGAGGCCTGGTTCTAAGATTGGACTGTCCAGACCTGCCAGCAGTGAACTATTGGACACAGTTGTATTATTATAAACATGAGAGCACAACACAATCGTCTGAAAACACTTATTTTCACAGAGCACATCATTGCCATTTTTGATTGATCAAATGAATGTTTTACCTTTTTAAAAATATTGTATTTGTCTTGATGTAATGGCATGAACCATATTCCCTCTGCTTTTTTTGATGAACACAATAATTAGCATAATCATGTATGATATGTTTTAGTGGTTCTCAACTGGTCAGGCCTTGGGACCCACTTTTTTCCTTGTTCAATAAATCGTGCTGTAATATATACGCTTTTCAGCATACATTATTAATTAAAGTGAAGTACAGGGAATATATCCCTTATATCCCTTCACAGCACTAAAGTATTCATTCAAATAAAAAGGCAGACTTGGAGCCAATCCTGTAAATTCACCACACGTGAAAAATGTGACATGCTGAAAACCCCCAGGAGATTTTTAGAAATACTAACATATAAACTACACATTCTGGTACACTCTGAGAAGAATATAAATAAATACTATTACTATATTAATAATATTTAACTTCATCTTCTACACACAGTTGTATAGGACAGTATGACAAAGAGAAGGGACAAGTGTTACTACAAGCAGTGATTTAAAATACGTGAAACAGAAAAATAAAATAATACAGGAAAATCGAACCGCTTGACAATCAGATGTATAATTGTATTTGTCAGAAAGCATTTGCTGTACAGCTTTTACTCTTAAACAGTGTCTTTCTTAAGGGTAAAAGCTGTAGGAGTGATATCTTATGTCTTCACTAAATATTTATCACTTGGTTGGTCTTGGTTGGTTATTTCTTATACATCATTTTTCAGAGTGTGTTAACAAAGTTTGCAATGATTGAGATTCCCAAGATGTTCTTAAAGAATATGGATACTTTAATACAACTTCCTTACAAATATCAGTGAAACTTAAATACAAATAACTTTACAAATGCCACATGAATCATCAATTTGAAAAAGCAGCAGACCCTCTGCTTGTTGCTGTGCAGGTTTTGTACGGTAGCTTCTTTGAACAGCCTGTTAACGACTCTCCATAATAAAGAAAAGTCCTAATGGGTACCAGAACTGTCCCATTGTCTTTCAAAACGGACGTAGATTCCCTTCAGGTCGTTGGACCGGCTCAAGTCGTTATTGGATTGGAACTTTAGGTTTGTTATTGGTGATCAATCTGAGACCCTTTCAGACAGAAGAGGAGTCGATTACTGAGAGCTGTGCTGGAGTTTCTTTAGAGTCGTTCAGCGTCCCTCACTGCCTCGCTAAACCAGTTATATGTCTCTTCAAACTTGTCCTCACTTCCCAAACTTTTCTATCTTTTCCAACCTTATTTTTCGTTGCTGTGATACTATGCTAGCTATCTAAACTCTTGACGTTATGAATAAAACAGACGTAAATGTGTTGGTTTCTATCCAGATCACTCAACTGTCGTTTGTTGAGAAATGCCGTTGGAGTTTCTCAACTTCTTTCACTGACCTTGCTGAACCAGTTGGATTGACTTTGGAAAACAAACATTTGCTGAGAAGCTGAGGACAGTGTGATTGGCAGTTAGCTGATATCCAAAATACATTGAACTAATCTTATTTAGTAAGAAATAATGAACTTATTATATCATGCACACGATTATGACCCAAACACAATCACATTGGCGGTCAACGAAGATACAGAAACCCAATCACCGTCTCTTCCTCACACAGGTGAACATGTATGTTTATTAACTATATCCATGTGAGCCAACTCAACAAACTTTCAAAAACACAATAATTAACAACATATTTTACAAACACAGCCAAACACTTCTATTCTTAAACCCAGCCAGCCAGCTCCCCTCCCCCTCACTGATATGCAAGTGTGAAGTTGGGTGGGACCAAGCTGACCATTGGTGTAAATTAGCAAATAAACAGAAACCGAAGGACTAGAGTTTGTTTTTGAGGCAGAGCACAGACTTATCTGATCTCAGAAACTCTCTCACCGTCACAGCTACGAGGAGAAATGTCTCAGAAAGGAGCTCAGCTGGACCTGGACTCCATTTCCTGTTCGATATGTCTGGATGTGATGAAGGATCCGGTGACTATTCCCTGTGGACACAGCTACTGCATGGGCTGTATTAAACACTACTGGGATGGAGAGAAACCGAATCAAAAGGAGAGCTGTCCTCAGTGTAGGAAGGCCTTCACACCCAGACCTGACCTGGTGAAGAACACCATGTTAGCATTCCTGCTGGGGGAAATTAAGAAGACTGGACTCCTTTGTGTTGAAATGAAGCAAAAAGAGCTCAATGTGAATCGACAGCAGAGGATCCAGGACCGAGAGGAAGATGTAAAGCTGCTTCAACAGGAGGTAGAGGAAGTTGATGCTTTATTGTCACAAACCGAGCCCAAAACCAGAGCTGAATTCTCTAAATATTCACGTGAAATCACACTGGATCCAAACACAGCAACCAAAGGGCTGTCCTTGTCTTTGGAGAACAGGAAAGTCACAGTCACAAAACGAAAACAGATATATTTCAGTCACCCTGACGGATTAGATATCTGGCCTAAGGTCCTGAGTAGAGAGGCTCTGATTGGACGATGTTACCTGGAGATCGAGTGGAGAGGGTATCAACTGGATTTGGCCCTCGCATACAAGAGTGTCAACATGAACGAGGATGAAATTGGATTAGGATTCACAGACAGATCTTGGAGTTTGAGATGTGAGAACCACTATTTTTCCTTTTGGTTCAATAATGTGGAAACTCCCCTCTCAGGTGCTCGTTCCAACAGGATAGGAGTTTACCTGGATCACAGTGCAGGGGTTCTGTCTTTCTACAGCGTCTCCAGTGAAACCATGAACCTCCTCCACAGAGTCCAGACCACCTTCACTGAGCCTCTCTACGCTGGAGTTTGCTTTTATGACAACTTTGGAGACTATGCTGAGTTCTGTAGACTTAACTAGACAGAAGAAATTCAAAGGGCAGTGGGTTAAATGTTGAGATTAACTTCTTTAACTAATTTTGTCTCAATGTTTGTAGCTGAGAGTTGGTTGTGTTGGTATTTCTAACCTGAGAACTTTACTGATAGGTTGTGTGAAAAAAAAAATGAAGAATCAATAAAGGTTTTTACAATATTGAATCATCTTGTCTTTATTCCAGGGTATTACAAGATGGTGAAAGCTATGTGAAAGGAATATAAGTGATGCAGCTAACTTTTCAAATACAACTGATTAAACATCGGTAGATTTATATCAATGTCACATTAACAATCCCTAAATCATGGTTCCCAAACTGAGGGTGAGTATTTATAAATGGCTGGTTATCTCAGCATTGTATTAATTGGTGTCAGGGCTGTCCATTCACCCTTAAAACCAATAGTAGACCTTGTTCAGGTGAAGATACGATTGATTAAAGGTTGTTGTTATTGGACACTGTTGCTTTTGGGTTGCATTGAACAGCAACATATTTCTTAGACCAGTAAGATAAATAAAAACCTTGCAAATAAAGGTTTGTTCAGATTTTCAGACTGATATAGGCTGCTGTTTCAAGAACTGCGGGACATGTGCTACTGTAATAGTAAAGCTTTGTTTCGTGGCATTACTGCAAAGTTAAACAAGTTTGCATAATTGACTCCGTCAGCTAAGGTTTGGGTTTGCTTTTTGAATATAAAGTGGTGCTTTTTTACATGAAATTAGTCCGGGAAAAGGCCCTTTTAGCCGATTACACTCCTAAACTATTAACATAATCTGGTTCGGATCGGGTTACGTCTGCAGCATAAGTAAACGTGACAAACAAGTTACTTTAAAAGAGAGCCTCCTTAATAACATGGAAAACTAGCTATCTCTAAAATATGCCTTTGCAGAGTTAGGTTTGTGGTTTAATGATGCTGGAGGCCAGTTTTCTTTAATTGTTTTGAGTCTTTTCTGGTTATTTCAAGTAAGGCATCAATGAATAAAGCTGTTGTAATAATTAAAATCCACAAAGGCTGCAAAGAGCTGTCTATGGAAAGGGAATTCGTTGTTGGATTGGACATCAGAGCTCCGAGGCATGATGTTGTTCTACTAATAGAGATCACAGAATTATTTATAAGGATCAAACTAGTATTAAGTCTCGACCCCTCGATTTAAATAAGTTCAATTTTTTTCAAACATTTCATACATGACATAAACAAGAATCTGAATGGAGAGTGCATCAAGTTTCAAGCCAGCTGCTTTATTAATAAAACATAGAAAATATCCAGATAAGCAACAAGACACTGTGGCAATGAGTTTCCACCCACTACGGCACATTCAGTCGTTTGTAATTAGGGAAAAAATATATTAAATGTCAAAAAATACAAATGTTAAATATGTCAAAGAAACTGAAAACCATAATGCCAGTCCATGTTTGTGAGGCACTTCATATGTGTGATGTTGATTCATTAAACTGCTGTCGTGTGCAAATATATAAGCAACAGTCCTTAGTATGTTGTCACAAAGCTATATCTGTCAGATGTCGATTCATATTATCAATTTGATGCATTAAGAGGGCTGACCAAGTCCCCTTTTTAGCATTAAGCTAATTGTTTAAGAATCCCAATGAGCTAGTTTGTTGTTGTTTTGTTGCATTTAGAACGGCTCAATCGTTACAGCAAACAAGCAACACATGAACAAACAATTCTATAAAACACTATTAAAAAAACACCAAAGCATCACAATCACTCCCTCTTTACTACACAGTGCACTTTATCCACCCTGCATAATTGTGATTTAAACAGTAGAGTACATTGTGCCAAAAAACAATACAATGTACTACTGTAGGTTTCACAGATAGAAAGCTGTTAAAGTGAAATTGTTAATGGAAAACGTTTTGTGCTCACTGTGGGTAAACTATTACGTGCCTTTTGTATAGGGAGTGATTTCAGAATCAGAAAACTGTTTAAGGGGAACCTCAGTGTTTTTCAATCCTGCAGTTAAATGCTACAAATGTTATCCCTCGGTGTCCAAAAAGTGCTGACTGCATTATTACAAATCTTCTCTGTTTGTTAGCGTGTCATGTGACCTGCTTCTCAAAAGACAAGTCCTTCAAACTAGCTGCACCTTTACCAGCTTTGAGAACACTTTCATGATCAATCATTATAAAACATATCATATCTATTATTCTGAAATGGACCAATCTGCACAACGACTACTTTTACTGTCGTTACTTTCACTATATTTTGATGATCATACTTTTCTACTTTCACTTGAGGAACATTTTGAATGCAGGACTTTTACTGTAACAGAGTATTCCTACACTCTGGTACTTCTACTTTTACTCAAGTACAAGATCTGAGTACTTCTACTTTTACTCAAGTACAAGATCTGAGTACTTCTACTTTTACTCAAGTACAAGATCTGAGTACTTCTCCCACCTCTGCTTTAGTGGATGAACATTGATAAAGGGTTATATTTTAAGTCATTTTAGCTTTAATGCAGAGTGACTTACGTGCACTTTTATACAGTAGACATGGTGGACCTATTAAGGGTTAAGTATCTTGCTTAAGGACACTTGGACATGTTGATTACAGAGACTGGGGATCAAAGCACTGATCCATCGATTGGTGGACGCCCATTTTAACCCCCGAGAAAAACCCTCCCCCCTTATTACCTTTTCACTGAAACCTGATTAAACAGGGTTGAAAAACACAGAAGTCACCCCTAAGGTTTCTAAACCAAGAGGACAGGGTTTGCTCAGCAGGAGGAGTCGGACATCCTCTGGGGCCGGGCTGATTGACAGGTGGAGGGCGGGGTGAAGACGTCGGGGTCACTGATGCCCAGCTGCAGGTTGAAGAAGCGGGTGGAGGTGGTGACGCTGCTGTTCCTGACGTAGGTCTCCTGCACCGGGTAGCAGTCCTTCAGGGTGTAGACCCCCACCCAGGTCTCATCTGCAGAGGGACCAGCAGCAGAGATGGCAAAAGTACACACATCCTTTACTCAAGTAGAAGTACAGATACTCGTGTTTAAAAATACTCAAGTCAAAGTACAGAGGCTTTGAAATGTACTTCAGTAAAAAGTACCCATAACTAGCAGCTGTTTTAAAGAGTACCTGACCTCCCTTTATATTAATAGAACAATAATGTCATTGTTAGCTAATGAATGTTTCCATGCTGAATAACGGCAACATGACAACGTTTTCATTCTGAGACTGCCAAGGCACACAGGGAGATGAGCAGGCGGTGAAGTAAAAGCGATAATCTTCCATATAGACATATTGACACATACGTATAAAACAATACATAAAATAAGATAGTAAAATTCTTCTTACAACCGTTAATAAGGATGTAACTGAAAGGTTTTCGGATGATAAACCTCTTTTCAACCAGACAACATAGATAGATGCGGAGATCAGATGAGATTAGGATGGTGAGGACCCTAGTGGTATAATTATTGGTTGTGGGTTGTGTTAAACAATATACTATCGTGAGAATAATGTTCGGTTGTTTGTCCGGCACAGCGAAGTATACAATACAAGTGTCTAATTAGCAACTAAGTTTAGATTTGGTTTAGTTTATTGCTGATTTCATTATATAACCTACTTTATTGTATTATATTTTTATTATATTATTATTTTATTTTTTACTATTAGTTGTTTATTATTTTTATCGATGTATTTGTTATTATATGTTTGTTTAATTATTATATATACTCTATACTTGTGGTAAATCTATAGTATAGTTACTGAATTTCTATTCATTCGTGTATGGAATAATTTTCGAAATTTTTTGATGATCGATAGGGTCGGGGAAGTGATGTTATAGGATTTTTTTAGTTATTTTTATTTATTGTTATACTCATTATTGGGCCGGTGTAGAGTTATCTAATCGTTCGTTTTTTGTTTTTTCATTCCTAATATTCTGTAGAATGTTTATTTGATTTTCTTTGATCTTCCTGTGATATGTATGTTGTTTGTTCTTATATATCTGTATATCTCTTGTCATTTATTACTGTGCTATTATTATTATCGTTTATCATATCGTTATTATAATTAAATTAAGTCGAAATTACAATAACTCCACGTATTAACTTCGGCGTGCGGCGAGAGGAGACGAGCGTCCTAAAAACTCATATATTATTTATGTTTATTATGATTATTTTTTATTTTTATTTATTAAGTATCTTTTTTATTGTTTATTGTATTAAGCGATGATTGATTGATTTTATATCAAATTTTATTAACAATCGTAATAATTATTCCATGGTATGTCGTGTTATTCATGATCACAAATACGATAGGCACAAGAGGGGGAGGTACGAGTTTTTGTTGTGGTCCGAAGAAACCTTATGGTACCCGAAGGACATGCTCTCACCTATAGTGCACTACAAAGGCTAGCTGCGTCTTCTGCTCCGACCGAGTTTCTAGCCCGACGACTGGCCTGCGTAAAGCTTAGGCGAGAAGAAGCTGGTAGGGGCTTTTTCGAGCGTGGAACGCTCCTGGTCATGGAGTAGGCCCGCGGCGCAGGCGCCCCTGTCGCACCTCCAGGTCTCAACCAGCGCTGTCTTCCGGACGCGGCGGTTGCACTCAGACCAAATGTCTGATGAAGAGAGAATAAATTTTATTTGACGTTACAAACTAAGGCCTAGAGTTTTTAGTCAAGCTCTACGAGCAATCACTATTGAAGGCCAGAGAGACCCGTTCTATCTCTGCCGGTCGTCAAATCGTGGGATTTCCCGACGATCGTTTTTATGTTATATAAGCAATATATAAACAACAATGAACAAACACCAACGAGAACTATAATAACAACACTGATCGAGTGTAGTTCATATTTATATGAGAGACATGTGAGACAGAATGTGACCCGAGTCTTGTCAGAGTATTATGTCGTCGTACGTGTGTCTGTCCTGAACGTTGCGTGAACATAAAGTACTAGGCGTTTTTCGCTAGTGTCGAACACAAAAAGTTACGTGCTGTGTTTACACAGAGCACAAAAGTAGTATGTACGATTATGTTTAGGATTA